GGATGGTGGCTAGAACCTGGGTCTTAACGTCGTGGTCCTTACGGCTGGTGGGAACTGCTTCGAGTTCGCCTAGCAAGGACTCCAGCATCGCATTATATTCCTGGCTGCGAGGCACGATCTCATCTCCATGGTATTGGAAGAGTGCTTGCAGTTTCCGGTATCCTGAGGGCTCCATGGTTCTTGACGCAATACGGGCAAGGCCTTTGTGAATCATCTCCCTCGCGTTCACTGGGTCTTTGGACCGCGGGCTGGGGCTGCGGTGACGGTCATTGAACTTCCGAGTGCGTCGCGGGGAGTCGTCGGATGTTGTTGAGTGGGAGAGGACCGATTGAGACATTGCTTCGAAAGATCGGTCTCTCACATCGGCGGAGCGGGGTGTTGTTTCATTGACTGGCACTTCCTCAAGAGCAGTCGGCTTGGCTGCAGATCGTGGTACGGGCAAGTCTACAACCTTGCCCGTGTGGGGAGTTGCATTCTCGTCGTTGCCATGGGTCTCGGGAGAACCTACAGGAGGATCTTGAAGATCCATCGAATCAACCCCGGTGACGATGTTGGAAGCTGCTGGCTGAACACGGCCCCTTGTTGGGGATGGGCTTGGTTGAAGCGGTGCACGGCGCGTAGGAGATGGAGTTCGGGCTTCAGAGTTCATAACCGAGTCATGGCTAGGTGCCAAATCAGGGGTGGGCTTTTTGGCCGATGCCATTACTGAAGCCGGGGCATCCTCTAACATGTTCTCGGGCTCGGTTACGTCCTGTTCAGGCTGTTCGGGGCGGACGGGAGAACGCACGGGAGGGCGAATGGGAGAACGCATGGGGATGGAAGATCTTGAAGGCGTAAGGTGGCCAATTGAGTGAGCATTCCCAGATAGTTCATTCTGGTCCCGAGTAGGTGTCGTAGGTGTTGTCGGTGTGGCAGGATCCTCATAAATGACCATTGAGTCCGGAAGAGGCCTGGAAACAGATTCAGGGACAGGAATCAAATGCGGATCAATGGGTGCAGCGACGTCTGGCTCGGCAATCCGTGGTGATGGTGGCATAACAGCAGGCTCAGCATATTCCTCAAGCACCATTGGCTCCGGTTCATCAACGGGAACCGAGCTTGCATGAGGGCCATCCGGCGCCGAGTGCAGCATAGGTTGTGAGGCAGACAACTGGGGACTACCGAACACTGCAGATACTGGCGAGCTTTGGGCTGGCGAATATTGGTCTTCAGATGCACTAAGATGACTGTCATAGCGAGGGGTTCGAGGGGTTCGAGGAGTTCTTGCAGAAGAATGATTGGTCAAACTGTCGTTCGAATCACTGCGGGCATGACTGGCTGCCCCAAGATCGTTGTGAGACTTGGATTTTGATAAATCAAGCTTCTTAGGTCTACCCTTCGCCGTACCATTCGGGTTCGACTCATGGGGGCGAATACGGGGAGCTGCGAGGGGCTTCGTGTTAGGTGTCGATGGCTTAGACCTCACAGAACGAGGAGAGCTAGTCGGCGGTTTACTGGCAGAGCTGTTGTTGGTAGATTGAGCTCGTGACTCGGGGCGACGGGCGTATGGATCTGCCGTTGCAGGACGACTCAACTCTGCCCGTCGGGGCTTCATGCCAGGTCGCATAGGTGCCGATGACAAAGAAGAGAGGGGAGCACCGGTGGGCACAGTACGGGTAGTCTTGGCAGCAGCCTGTGGCTTTGCCTCAGGGAAAGCTGGTTGAGCTGACTCTGGACGAGAAGGCATCTGACCCTTCTTGCGGGCAGCAATAGCTTCTTGGAGGGCCGTACGACTCTTGGCGGGGCTCTTCGCAGGCAATACAGAAGCGGGCCTCGGGCCACCGTTCGGGTTCGACGAATCTTTCTCAAGTAAATTCCGTGACTTGGCATCGAGAGAATTCATTATCCTTTAGGCAAGTTAGCAAATCAAGTATATGGACAGAATAAGGGGTAACATACGCATCGGCACGCTCAGGCCATACAGAGAAGAAGGTCCAGAAGGTACTGCGGCTTGCCTCACGTACACCAGGGTTGGCATCTGCGAGACCCTTCTTAATAGCCTTCTCGATGAGATCGAGACCGCCACCATGTTCAACCGCGCTCTTCTGGTGAGCCTGTCGAGTGATCAAAGTTGTGAGCCATCCTGTGGCAAATAGACGCAGCTGAACATTCTTATCCTGAGAGGCAAAGGATACATGCTGCAAAAGGCGAATGCTGAAGGATACATTTCCAATGACTGCGTCAACGGCTGCATTTCCGTTCTGAGCAGCGATCTTTTTCAACGCTGAGCAGAGCTTCATCAGGTTCTGCATGATGATCTCAACCATCGAGTCGATTCTGGGACCACATGTGCGGGCGATATCCTGGATTAGGAGACTTCCATTGGTAGACATTGTGGTTCGAAGGGAATTGACTACCTTGAAAATACCATCAAGGAGTGTCTTTGTGGCATTGATATAGGTCTGGGTGAAGTCACGCGGCGCATTGCCTCGTGTAATTCTCCGGAAAAGAATGACATTCTTTTCACGCTTTAACCAGTTATCTTCGGACTCCCTCCCCTCAAACCACGGGAGCATGTCACGCACAAGATCATCAACATCCCTAGCTGAAGCTACGTCAAATGGCTCCAGACCATCATCGTCAGGTAATGGCTTTTGAGCCGGTGGCTCACCAGCCGGCGTCTGAAATCGGTGATAGGTTGGTGGTTCTGCAGATGCCAAAGGGGCAGTCGGTCGTTCGCGATGGGCCCTTGAGGCTGGGCGGCTCTTAACGGGCTCCATTTCTGTAGAGAAGTCAGTAATTTGTCAACGCTAAGGTTCTAGGTATTCGTCACTGACCATCCTCGGGGTGGTCCACGGCGTGTGAACGAGATGACATAACTGAGATCGGGCGTTCAGCGCGAGAAATTGGGCGTGTAGATGAGGCAGCCTCAGGTTCAACAGAACCTATGCCTATGGCCGTGAGAATAGCATTTGCGATAGATTTTCTCACTCCGCGGGCCGCGATTTGCTTCTGCAGATCAGATTTTGCTCTCGCCGGTCCAGAGCTGGATTTTATGGTCAGTCATTCGATGAAAATGACTCAAGCACAGGGAATGCAATCACTCACCGAAATAGCTCGATTACGACCAACTTGGCCGTATCTCTAACGGCACTGTCGGCGTCTTCTAAGCACGCAACCAGAGAAGGAACGTGTTGGCGATATAACAAGCCATGGCTTTTGGTCATCTGCACATTTGCGAGTCAATATACGTCAAGCATTTCTGGGTGCATCAACCTACATTTGACAGCCAAAGCATACTCATTTCCTTGGCTCGAGGGTTTTTCCCGATCAATGCGACCTCTAGAACATAATACTCGACCTCACTGCCTGCCACGGGCCACAGATCGGTGAATATTGACGCAGCCTGGGCTCTGATCCGTTCTTTGTGATCGTTTAGACGTTCTAACAAGAGGGTGTACAAGTTGCGAGCTTGGTTGACGATCCATTGCTGCTGATCTTGGATGGTGAGGCGCTTCAGGAGGTGGCCGAGGGTAGAAAACCCTGCGCCGCAGACCGAGTAATGTTGGGAGCTAATGGCGAGGCGCAATGTTTCGAAAATTGTAGGAATGGCGCCCTCTGGGACATTTTTTTGTTTGATATCGGACTTGACACTAGTTAAGTAGGCGACCTTTGAATCAACAGACAGGTTGGGGTTCTTGAAGGCCGCCAAAAGCTCTGAAGCCTTCGCCTCCATTTCGAGAGTCAGATCTCGGTTCGTCCTAGGTAGAACAGGTCATGCAAATAGGACGCAATTTGTATGCAGTGGTCGGATAAATCGGGGTCCACTGTGGATGGTAGGAGACTTGGTTGTCGGCTTTGACACTGCCCAGGGGGAAAGTTAGCAAGGCTCCAATACCAGAGCAAATGGCACAAAGTCTCAAGGTAACAGTGACGCGAAATAAGGGCAGATCATATGAATGCGCTCAGATGGACTGGCTTATAGGCAGAGGACGGAGAATCGCGCGGACATGCGGGAGATGGAGCAGGGTATGAAGAAGAGATTGGGGACAGGATCGCAGGCGTTAAGTAGGAACAGTTCACAAGGGGAAGGATAACATACAGAAGCGCAAAGCTGGAGAGCGCAAAGCGATGGATGTGTTGCAGGTGGGATGTTGCGAAGGAGGAAAACAAGGGGCGATAAGCGCGTCCCGATAAGCGCGAGGGACAAGTAGGTGCAAGTAGGGGTAAAGGGGTGCGAATACAATGATACTCCTTGGAAATGAAGTTGAGATTGTGTTCCGTAATAGTTCTTTTACTCGTGTACGAAATAACCCTCAGATCTGTTGGGCTGAACGCAACTTAGGCCCAATCCTGTTTCTACCGTTTGTTTACCACTTTTCTCACTAATGGTCGCAATGGCAACGCCATGCACAATTTTATAACAGTACTGTTTAGGAGTAAATGAGTGAATGGATTGCTCTAGTAATATAGGGACAAGTGATCAATTAATGTTCCTTCAATCCGAAATAGAAGCCTGTCTACAGTTTTCTAGGCAATTTACGGAGTATGATACCCGTGAAAGATATATAAACACTGTATAATAACATAAGACTTCACCAATCCACTTCAAAGACCAACTTGCGGTCTGAACCACATCCAATCGCTTTGTTCCAGGACATACAATTGATTTAAATCATAAAACCCTGCATTATAACCCCACGAGATCGTCAAAGTGGATCATACTTTGGAGGCAGATCACCGTAAGGTGCTTATTTTAGATCTAAACCCCCCCATAAGAGACCAAAAATGGCGGAGATCTAAGAGTACCTTCGGTCAGTATAAATAAACAGAACCTCGATATTTACGCTCATGAATATCAAGTTTGTGCCGTCAGCTTCCGCATATAGTCAACCCCACCTTCCTCCGCATTCAGCCCTGGAGGACATACTTCACTCACCACACTCCTCAAAGAACCAACAATCTAGACAAGAACTGCAAGACTACCAACTAGACCATCGATGATAACCCACAACATCAAAATGAGAACCTCAGGCTCTCCTCCGCCTAAACCCTCCGCCTCTGCAATCCCCAACCTCAAACATCAAGAGCACCAACCCCCAAAAAGCACAGAAGAAAAGCAAACACAAACCAGCCTCACAAAGACCAAGCTTCCCCAACCAAAACCAAAACTCCGCCTCCACATCCAAGACCTCCGCCACCCAGCCTCAAGCGTCTTCCTCGCCTTCATCCCAGACATTGGATCAACACTAGACCAAGCCCTGACCAACATAATCAATTACCTATACACATCACCAGAACCAAGCACTTCCAATACATCAAGACCACCCCCCCACAGACCCCAGTTCACACCCAGCATTCCCCAGACTCGCTCCGTGACAGTCTTCCTCCGCGATTATAGCGGTGTGGCTTATACAACAGGCACGGAGCTAGACGATGCACACAAGGAGATCCATGTCTCGCTTCCTTATGTTCAGTATTGTACATCGAAAGATGATCCGCTTCATGAGTTAGTTGGTGTTCTTACGCATGAGTTAGTTCACTGTTATCAGCATACTGCTCCACCAGGTTCGGATGATAAAGACGATGATGGAGATGGAGATGATGATAATGGCGGTATACCTCGTCCGCCGGGTGGTCTGATTGAGGGTATTGCGGATTTTGTGAGATTGAAGGCTGGGCTTGAGCCGCCCCATTGGAAGAAGCCTCAGTCCAAAGATGAGAGGCCTGAGAAGTGGGATATGGGCTATCAGCACACGGCTTACTTTTTGGCTTGGCTTGAGGATGTGAGGGTTGGGAGGGGGGCTGTTGGGATGGTTAATGATCGGTTGCTTAGGGTTGGGTATGTTGGTGAGGGGGATGAAGAACGGGATGAGGCTGTGGGTAGGCGTATTGGGTTTTGGAAGGGTTTGTTTGGGACAGGGATTGCGGACTTGTGGGAGGAGTATGGGTGTTATTTGGATGATCCAGCATGTGCTGGGAGCAGTAGTGGGAATTGGGAGGATGAGATTGTTAACCCAGAGTGACGGAAGATATAAGTTAGCTGAATTGGTAATCTACAGCAGAATAGAAAAACCATTATTAGATGATTTTGGTGTGCATTCGATGGATATCTGAGGGCACTTCTATATTTGAATGACAGGGCCAACACCAACTTCATCACCTGTCGTTTGACCGAGCTTAACTGGAGAGTGTAGCAGACGAAAAGACATGATATAACAGTAAGGGAAATTGGGAAAAAAGAAGACACCAGATGAATCGAAGGGATTGAGAGTCCCATAATGTACAGGGTCCAGTCATGTAGAAGACAGGATAGATGACTCTTTTTAACCGCCGGCCAGCTTCCCATGCGAAATGCGAAAGAATAGCACACCGGAAAAAAAAGGAAAGCAATGACAAAAAAGAGACATGAAATAATATGTTACCGTGCCTTTGAACCAAGGCATCCCATTGCACCAACACCTTAAACAACAACCTCACCCAAGTCGACGTGGACGGGCTTCCAGGGAGCAGCGGATGCTTCCTCCATGGCACTGGGCACACGGACGGAAAGCGGGCTGTAGAGGTACCAACCCTTGAGCGCAGCAACAGCAGCACGCTCACGGCCCTCCATCAGACTGGCGCCAGCGCCCTCGCCAAGCTTGTCCTTGCCGGAGAAGATACCAACCACAAAGACGGGGTGTCTGCTCTTACGACCAGTTTCGCTGATAATCTTGGCAACTGGACGCTCGAAGCCCTCGCGCGCGCACAACCGGGTCAGGTCACGGGCAGGCTTGCGGAAGTTAAACAATTCTGAAATGTTGAGATGTCGTGAAAGGAAGTGCTGCTCAAAGAATCGCTTGGCGGCGGCACGGCCGGCGTGCAAGTAGATAGCACCCATGACTGCACGAACAAATTCTGCGCTGGCCTGCTCGGTCGTGACGCCAGTCGCGGTGGTGTTTGGCGTTCCCTTAATCGGGTCACCGAATTCATCATCATAGAAGACCTTGGAAGTCACCGTTTTCCGCCAGTTCAACTGTTGTTCATATGGCCGTACTGTGTCAGAAGCTGGGGTCTCGGGGACCTCAGAGCCAGGCTCGAGTCTTTGGAACTGCAACAGACCGGGGTCGACCTCTCCACCTGGCGCGGAGGCCAGTTCGACACCCCATTCTCTAGCCATGGCAGCGAGAGTCTTGGGACCAGCGTATGCGTACATGGCGGCGAAGATCACAGTCAGCGGCAGGCGAGGGTAGGTGCAGATGAGGTGCTCTGTGGCGTAGTAGGAAAGGAGGTCATGACCGAGGGTGGCCAGTGATGTGTTGTTGAAGTTTGTGTTCGGGTCGGCAGAAGCATCAACTAGTGTTCGTGCAAGCGTCTCGACGGGTAATCTGGAGGGAAGGTAAAGTCGAGCGTGGAGGGCAGCAAGTTTTGCGGATTGTTGAGCTGCTTCGACTGTGGGAGAGGGATATTGGAGTTGTGAGTGACGAGTGTGAGACAGGCGAACAATTTCCGACAGTTTCTCGTCCAAAGGAGCTGAGTCCTCGATAATTGAGTCTTCAGGGACACCACCATTTTGGATCGGGGATGCGGTTGATTGACACCGCTGGCCGTACATGTGTTGATGCAGACGGTTAACAGTCCGAGTCCGCGGCCCAAGGACTGAGCTGCTCCATCTTTGGAGCTGCAGCCTCTTCATCTGGGCGATTGTGAGGAATTGGGAACGAAAAAAGAAAAATTATACCGGGGGAGGGAGAATCGCAACGCAATCAACTGGCCGTCAACGAGAGGAAGAGAAATTGTCGCGGCAGTCACGGGATGTCCAGGTCGTGTGAGAGCGCGCTAATCCAGTTTCGGCTCTAGTGGCTTGGCGGCAGACCTGCGATTGAGACGGACCTTTCGGCTTCCACCTCCAAGAACTATCTAGCCCTACGCTCGCTTTCCCCGTTCAATAACCCCTTCAATTGCATCTTCGTCACAATGGGTGGAGGTGGAAAGATCCCGTATGTTCTTACCACGAACAACCCCGCCAGATGCTAATAGGAGTCGGACAGGTACCCCAAGGAAGTCTGGTCCCCCGCTGGTGGTTGGTACGCCCAGCCAGCCAACTGGAGGGCCAACACTGCGATCATGGGCGCCTTTGTGATCGGTGTCGCTGCCGTTGCCTTCAGCCTCAGCGCCGAGCGCGAATACCGCGACAAGATGCCCGAGCCCGGCCGGTTCTTCCCCAGCCGATAGTTGGTCACCCCGACCCCATCACCCTGTCTCTGATGCTGACCCATGTTTCCTCACTTTAGCTGGAGTAAGCAGATCCGCGAGCATGAGCAGCAGCAAGCCGCCAAGAACGACTCATGAAGAAAACCCAGGATATTGGCGGTTATGGAAGGACTTGAACCAAGACGGAGCCTTTTCTTTTCGTGTTTTTCTACTATTTGTTCATTTGTGTGCTGTACGACAATAAAACGGCGTTCCTCATTCGGCCATTGATCAATTGGTCAATAGGTGTTTCTGAGGAGACTCCTCAAGTGTCTTCAATAATCGCTGCGTGTACAGGCGGACCCGTTCCGTGAATTCAGACTGATTCCACAATTCCCTTCCGTTTCCATCAACATCGATCTGTGGCACACCAATTTGTTCCACCACAAAGCCTGCTGCAACGGTCGCGCAAATAAGTGCCATAGGGTGGTGTTGGAAGTTACCCCAAGAGTTGAGGGCCTTTTTCCAGGTCTCGGAGTGCGATAGAACAGAATCGATAGCCTGGAATGGCTCTCGGCCTGTAGACACCATACCCTGAGCTAGTGCACCTAGGAACGAGTTGCCCGCACCCGTGGGGTCAAGCACAGACGTAGCGCCAGAAGCATCAGGTTGGTGATATGCCGGGAGCCAGATCTTACTGATCTTAGAGTAAGCGTAGCTACCGTCCTTTCCTGCCCTGATAACCAGTAAACCATTTCCATCATGGCCAATGCCGGAGTCTATAATCTTTTGGACCAGCTTTTGGCTTTCGTCACTGTTCTCGGTCCAACCGGGTTGATCAAACATCATACCAATTTCCATATGGTTAGGGCTCACGACATCCACGGCTTGGTTTGCAGAGAAGAACTTCTCTTGTTCCTCCGGGGTGCAGAGGTCAGGAACGGGCTCCCAGACAAAGACGGGCCGCTTGGAGGCATCCAACGTGGACGGCGCTTTGCCTGCCTTGTGCAATTCTTCTCGCCGCTGTAAGACATGTTGGACTATAGAGATACAACGGGATGCAGAACAGACCATATGGAATGTCTTAGACCACATTTGAGTATCCGATAGCATCTCAGGCTCGAGCCTCAACTTGGGAGTCAAGTATTTGAAGTCTGCGGGGTCAATCAGGACTTCCATTCTAAGGATATATCATTACATCCATAGATACTTACCTCGTTTCTCATTTGGATGATATCCATTCCAGGCCCTCGTAGTCAATCGACTGAAATCCTCCCTGAAAAGACAGTCTGTATTCCATGATTTGATCACGTCAAGGGTCTCAGGAGGGAAATCAGAGCCAACATCAACAATCCAGCTCACGGATTGTGCATATTCTGAGCCTGAAACCAAGCGAGCACCCACGACTGCAAATGAGGCCGCCCCGCCGAGAATGTTCTTGACCCCAGGTCTTGAGCCACCAAAGTCAATATCATCTAGACAGTGTGAGCCCATGTCCCGCACTGAACGGAGATAGCATACCTAGGATGAACATCCCCAGAGTGCAGAAATCGACCTCATGCTGACCCTGAGCCATGGCTATATCCCTGTGGCTCTAAGTGATCTATAACAAGAATGGCAGAGAAGAACAAGAGGAACAAAGGTCTATCAAGTTCTGAAGTGGATCAATGATACATATCGTAATGCGAATACCAAAGATACACCGAAACATCATTCTGTCAGCCAATGGCCTCGTACCGTACATACGTAATGTATGGAGCCCGGACCTACCTTCAGGAGCTCCAACTTCTTCTTTCTTTCCCCTGTTGCTTCGACTTGCCTTTGATAAATTGCAGGAGACTTGATTGTCTATTTATTGCCTGCATTTCCTATCCACCCAACCCACTTCCTCCATCCTCTTCGCTTCAACCGTTGGAGCTACGTGTTGCCTATCATGGCGTCAGGCGGCCATATGCATAATTTCACCACCCTCATCAAGCGGTATGTACCCTCGTTGCGCGCAGTGTCGCTATCGCATTGAGCCATGTTTAAATCCCGTCTAAGCTGTGTGACAATTCCTCCGTATTCTTGACTGACAATACACTCCGGTTTATAGGCTCGAGGCAGCCACCTCCCGCTTGGAGGACATGGCGATGTCACTCGATGACCCCAGCTCACCCAAGTCCATGGGCGGCGCTTCATCTTCGGTGCCCGCTACTCCCGAACCACCTAAGCCCACCCCTCCTCCACCCGCAGCTCCTGTGGCTGCCCCGGTCCCGCCTCAGATCGAAGACTTCGATGCATTGATCAAGGGCGATGTTCAGAACTTTGTGAACCTGGGAGAGAAGATTGGCGGTCTGGTCGCTGAACAGGTAAGCTCGCCTGGTATCTTTTCGCAACGAGTAGTTACTGACTACAGTCTAGTCGAAAGCCGTTCTGCAAGCCTTCAAAGCCGAGCGCACCTATCTTTACGTCGTGACAAAGGCCAAGAAGCCCGATACCCAGCCCCCAGAGCTGATGACAGATTTGCACAAAGCCTCGGACAGCATTAACAACATCCGCGAGTCAAACCGTGCGTCTCCGCTCTTCAACCACCTCAGCGCTGTCGCAGAGGGCATTGTTGCACTCGCCTGGTTCTTTGAGAGCAAGCCCGCGGAATTCGTCGCGGACATGATTGGTGGCATTGAGTACTATGGAAACAAGGTCTTGAAGGAGTACAAGGACAAGTGAGTACCTCGGTGATATGTCGCAAGATCTATGCGCTGACGTTTTGACAGGGACCGTACACATGTCGACTACATCAAGGCCTACTATCAGAACTTCAAGGCTCTCGCCGAATACCTCAAGAAGCACTTCCCCAAGGGCCTGACTTGGAACAACGAGAACGGAATTGACGCTCTGGAAGCTTTGAAGCAGGCCAAGGGCGGACCTGCTTCCCCCGCTGGCGGTGCCCTTTCTCCTCCTCCTCCCCCTCCCCCAGTGCCTTCTCTCAATGTGCCCCGTGGTGGTGCTCCTCCCCCACCACCTCCCCCTGGCATTCCTCCCGCTCCCGCCCCTGCAGCTCCGGCTCCAGATATGGGCGCTGTTTTCGACCAGCTCAACCAGGGCGAGGCTATCACCTCCAGCCTCCGCAAGGTGGACAAGTCACAGATGACCCACAAGAACCCCAACCTGCGCGCCGGCTCGACCGTCACAGAGGGCTCCAGCGCCGCCCGCGGGAAGTCTCCTGCACCTAGCAAGAAGCCTAAGCCCGAGAACATGCGCACGCGCAAGCCGCCTCGCAAGGAACTCGAGGGAAACAAGTGGCTCATCGAGAACTTCGACAACCCCGGTGATATCGTCGAGATCCCCGCGCAGCAGAACCAGTCTATCCTGATCACCCGCTGCAACAAGACCATCATCAAGGTCACCAACAAGGCCAACGCCATCGCCATCGACAACTGTAATGGCCTCTCTCTAATCGTCGACTCCCTGGTCAGCAGCCTTGATGTTATCAAGTGTCCCAAGTTCGCTCTCCAGATCGACGGCACTGCCCCTACCCTGCTGTTGGATCAGGTTGACGGCGCTACCATTTACCTTAGCCAGCAGAGTCTCAACACTGAGATCTTCACCAGCAAATCCTCTGCTGTCAACATCAACCTTCCTCCTAAGGAGGGCACTGATGATGACACTAAGGAGTGCCCTCTGCCCGAGCAGTTCAAGAGCTACATCAAGGATGGTGTGCTGGTGAGCGAGATTGTGGAGCACGCTGGTTAAGCAGAGTTCAAATTCAAGTTCCCAGGAAGAGGCAATCTTCCTAGGCTACAGAATTCTTAATTCGCGTTGTTCTTTGGTAGAAGTCAGTCGTACTTCGTCCTAGGCCTGGACTCTTTTGATAATTTTTGATTGCTATATCTAGCGCTCTGTAGATAGAAATCGCAGGATCTCAGACATGCCCATTCTTTGTCTTTTTGATTGAATATTTGAAACCTCCTTTCCGGATAGCGACAGAAAGCGAGATGTGTTAATTTGTAGATCGATGCCAAAGGCCCCTAACAGAACACCATCGAGATAAATCTACCACCAACCTTGTACCACATAAAAGGGGCTTAAAAAACGGCAAAATTCCATATTATGATTACTACAGTCCGTTTAGGGTCGCCCTACAGTATTTCGGAAAATCAGGTAGAAGACATATATCATATCAACAATTAAATACTTCCAATAGCACCAAAACAAAACCAACTAACCTCTTAACTCAGAGTGAAACCACCTACCAGGACTGTCCTCTCCTGTCCATCTTCGTCCTTTCGCAATGCTTCTGACTTTCCCCCTGTCAAGCCCAGAAAGAAACAAACCCTTCTCAAGTTTGATAATCCCCCAACGCCGCGTTACAGCCAAGTACGGAATCAGGCGCGGTGACTACTAATATGGTTCCCTACAAGAGACGACTGCTGCGCATCCTGTCGGGCATATTCCGTAGGTCGCTACTGGCGAATACAGTAGGTGGAACCATAGGAACTTCATTTTCTCAACCCTTGCGGACGTGGAGTACAGTAGATCTCGGAAGAGTGTAGGAGGGCTTTGAGGTGCGTAAAAAGATTATAGTGATTGATATGCCATTGAAGGGTCATTTATATCCTAGGGACCAGGTTTTAGAAGTTAAAGGAAGTAAACGAATGCTTCATATCTTAGACGTCACAATGTTGTGAGATTGCATTCTGGGCAATGTTTCGTAGGATAGTATCCAGGAGGGAATTTATGTTAAGCACCAGCGAGATAGACACCAAGAGTCCACATACCTACTTTTAAGATGATGCTATATATTCAAGAGCCTCGATTCCAAAATTCACCGAGATAGCCTAGATGATATGTACGCCGAAAAAACCCCCTCCAATATGGTTAAAGACCAAGAAAAAGAAGGGGGATAGTCAACAGCCCAAGCGCCTGAGTAACCCATATACACCAAAAGAGCATGAACATTGCAAACAGAAACAAATGTCCAAATGATAAAAGGAGACATGAAAACACTCATCGCTTGTGCGTGGATGTGGAGAGTTGTCGATGCTATAATGTGGGTTAGTATAAACAGCGTTCGGCTGCAGACCGGTGCGCCTTTGGTGTGTCAAGTTGTTGGTTTTCTTCTCTTTTGATGTTTTTGGTTTTGTTGTCCTGTTCTAAACTTGCAGTAGATTGAAGGTTTGAGTTACATATCAAGTCAAAGTCACGATACAAGGAGGTGGGAGATGGTTATTATACCGATGAGGTGGCCGAACGAGATCCGTACAAGACGGGGAGAAGGAGGAGAAGGAGGAGGAGAGCAAGGCGCTAGGCTCTCGTTCAATGATGATGGTTATGAGAGGGGTGGAATTGATTGCGGAAGTCCAGTGTGCGCGGATGACGCTCATCTACTGGGGATGATTCGGTTCGATGGACGTCGAGGCCTCGAAGTCTTTTGGCAAGCAAGCTCTCCCCAACTTCCGGGCCAGTCTGACTTGGGATGAAAGGGTGGCCCCCATATCCCACCTCATCTTTGGTGAGCTTGTGATACAGAGAAGTAGTTTGCGAGCGCGGGCTAAGGTGGGAGGAACCGTCAAGATCCGTAGGTGTTGGAACTTCCAGCTGCGAGGGAAGGCCACCTGGTGACGACAGATGAGGACGAAGAGAATGGATTGTTCCCTGGCCGACACTCCGCCTGCGATATGCTTTCTCAATCGCCCCTCGAGCATTTGTGCTCGTCGCTTGCGAAGAATCTCGAGAGGGTTTGTATGGGCTATAGCGAGGCTCAGGATTTTGAATTTCATTCCTCAGCCTCTCTTTGCCATCAGGGACACGATTGGCAAATACCACCCGGATGCTCGAATGCAGGTAAAAGCGTCCACGTGCGGGGCAGCAAATATTTAGATGAATCAAGTATCGCAAAGTCGGTTTATCTTGCGGATCTTCCGTGGCATTCAAAGAAGCTTCCGGACGATCGGTCCCAAAGTTCTTTCGTGCACTGAGCGGCATGTCGATGATCGGACCAGCCGAATAACTGCGTTGCCGAATGAAGGTCTTTGTACCAGGCTCCATATCACTGAGATCATATGGAACTAAGAACAGCTTAACCGCTGTTTTGTGAGGGTTCTTGATTATAATCTGTAGCTGGCCTTGCTGCGGTATTCGATAGGACCCTCCCGGAGGGCATTTAGGTGATTCGGACCTGCGGCTCTTCTTTTCTCTGCGGCGACGGCTGTCTGCTTCGGATATTCGGGAAGTGTTTGCTCCGTCTGTAGCAGGCATGCCTTCCCGGTGCCCTGCTGGACTTGTGTGCCGCCTGCGACGTCTAGTTGGATTTTCATTCTCTTTAGGAAGTGAGTTCTCAAGGTCAATTTGTCCTACATATGGACTTGGGTTGTCATCTGAGATAGACCGTCCGCTGCCTGAAGTCGGGTAGCTGTAAAAGACAACTGGGAAAGGCACCGTAACGTGTGGCGGGCACTTGAGATGACCTTTGCATTTGCCTTTCCCCAGTACACCGATCTGAGCCGTGAAATCCAGCGGCTTGGAAGGATTCATGGACATCCGTCCCCGCAAGATCGACTCCTCGTAAGACCCTACCATTGGAGCATGCGGTTTAGACGAGTTGTCGCCGCTCAGAGATGGCCTTCTAAAATGAGATGGCAGGACTTGACCCGCAGGTGACGGTGCAAGTTGAAGGCTATAGGCTGAAGTCAATGAACGGCGAGGATGAGAGTTTTGATTGGCGAACAAATCCCTCTGCCTCCCGGGCGGGGATGGACTGCCAATGTTCATGGCATGTTGGCTTGGCAGGGAAAGTTGAAGATTTCCGAAAGTCTCTGGCGGTAAAGTCCGGCGACGGTTCGCTTTCTCTGAAGGCTCCGAAACACCCACGGGCTCGATGCGAGGCGAAAAGTCCAGGTCCGTGTTATTTGCTTGATACACCAGCGGACTTGTTGGAGCCTTGAGGACATAACTTGACGAGAACGAACCCAGCGAAGGTGCCCGAGCACGGGTGTTCCCGGCGAACGGATTGGATTGCAGATTTGATGTGTTTGGGGTTCGCAAGGACGAAAATGCCGGAGCTTCAAACCAAGGAGTCGTAGGAGAAGAACTCAAGTGAGCAAAAGGAGAAGCTGTGTCTCGCTCCTTAAATAGAGGTCGGGGCGTTGGTGGATCATGGTGATCTGTGGCACCTTCCCTGAAGTCGCCTGAGTGTAACGCTGACCGAGGTCGCTGGATATCGGCCGGCGATCCCAGTTCCTCCGTCTCATCTATGCGATGTTGATTTCCGATGGAAGGCTCTTGATGTTGCCCGAATACAGTTTGATGCTGTTCCTGTGACCTGCGGGGCATGAAGACGTCATCATCTTCCCTGTCCGTGGACTAATGATAAATGTTAGTTCACGGCCTGAGCGAAGGAGAAGACAAAGGGACACAACAACAAAAACCCGAAACACAAGAAGTAGATCCCAAGAGAGGTCTGGCAAAGGCCCCACATACCGAGGGTTGAAGTCTCCAAGGCGAAGATTCCTTGATACGATGTATGAGCTCCTCCCGATCATTGGCCCACGGTCCTGACATGTCCGATTCCGTTGACTGCAACGAAGCCTCTGTATAGTCAGGGACAGGTTCTGTGCAATCTTGGTGGCGAAGATCATTGAGGGACTGAGAGGACCCTGTAGTTGGTTGTTCCCGTCCACTACGGTCCGGTGACCATAGATAATGGCGCCGCCGATCCGGATCTCGAAAGAGGGGCATGGCGTGATAAGGGCAGACTAAGAGGTCTGGGATGATAAGTGTGACATCTCAGGAGACGTGGCGAGCACCATCTGAAACGAGAGCCGATCGGGGAAGTTGGATGCGGTGTGGCAGGATGATTCGGGTATATTGAAGTGATTGGCGAGGAAAACACAGCAGTTATATAGATCACGTCATGGGATGAACTTCCGTCGCATGCAATGGTACTGCCTGTACTGCCTGTACTGCCTGGATTGCTGCCCAGTCTGCGAAATCTTTAAGTTAAGAGAAAGAAAAAAAGAAAAGGCTTTGAGCGTTGAGCGTCGATCATGGAGATCCTGACTCAGACGTCATGTGACGTAGTGACGTTGAGATGCAACTGCGACTGTTTTTGGACAAAGCATGGGAATCGGGCAGCAAGAATACCTGCAGACTGGCTTAATGAAGCAGTTCGAAGTCGTTGGTGAGTTGGAAGAAAGGGAAAGCGACGAAAGGTGTGAGGAGCGACTATAATATGGGCAGATCAGAATTGTTTGTAAACAACCAAAAAAAGGAAAGAAAAACAAAAAAAAAAAAAGTTGTAGATTCTGTAATTGTTTCTGGATCTCATCAACGTAAGATAAATAGTAGCATAACAATAGTATACCTCTCTGTTGTTCAACATGTCTTGTATACCTTTGACCGTGGTCAGGCCGGAGTTCCATGCGGAGATCGCCACTTTTTTTTTTCCTTCTCCGTCGAAGTCCAACACAACACAACCCCAACTCCAGCAGCTGTTGACAGTCAAACCCTTCCAAAATGGCACCGAAACGCACACACGATGGCGATCCTGCACCAGCAACCAAACCCCCCGCAGTCAAGAAGCGCAAGGGCTTCAGCGTCGGACCGGCGAACCTCCCAGATGGCACATATCGACGAAAGAGTAAGCAGACCAGCGTCCCCCGCCAGACATATCCAAGACTAACATGCTTTTTGCAACAGCTCAAAAGATCAAGAACGACCTGATCCAAAAAGCCAAAGTAAAGAAAGCCTACGCAAAGATCAAAGCCCAAGAAGAAGCCAACGCACCGCAAAAGTCCGTCTACGACACCTACGTAGACGAAGACGCCGAAGCCAAAAAGAAGGATGAAACGCCCACCGAAGAGGCTACCACTTTGGAACTTCACCCAGATCGCATCGCCATGTTGAACGAGCCCGAGCCCGAACCCGCACCTGCGCGCGCGCCTAGACCAGAACGGCGTCCGCGGGGAGAGGGCCGGCCCAGGGAGCGTCGACCTAAGCCATCAGCTTTTTCGAAGGAGATGGAGATTGCTGAGGAGCGGAGGAGGGCTGCTGAGGCTCGGAGGAAGGATCGCGAGGCGAAGCAGAAGGAGCGTGAGGCTATGCTTCGCGCGAAGCGGCCGGATCAGTTTGGGAAGAGACGGTTGGGGAGGGAGAGTAATGCACTGTTGAGTCGGGTGCAGCGGATGGTTGGTCAGAATTAGATGGGGGTGGTTCAGGAAGGGAGAGCTACATGTGTATGTGGCGTGGACTATGTTTTCGTGATACCCGTTTGGAAGTGAAAAAGTTTATGGAGAATTCAATATATCGTTACTTAAGTTAAGCTGTTGTCTCGCTATGTCTGTAGAGTGTTGGAGGACTTGGAACTATTGGAGCTGCGTTTCCTGAAACAGGCAAACTCGCCCTTCGTCCTGTCTCTGAGTCTTTTCAGGATGCCTCTCATTTCTCCTAGTTCGGATTGGAGGTTCACCCGTGCTTCGTTTGTTGTGCGGGCATCTAGCTCGACGTAGATTTGGCTTTGCATGCCTGATGCTTCTTCGGTTGCGTATTGTGATAGTGACTGTGCGATGAACTCCGTGTCCAGGGTTGCTTGCATCAAAGCGGCTAGCGAGAAGGAGGAACGAGCACGGAAGGCCTCGAGCAGGGATGAACAAATTTGCGTCACGAGGTGTGTCAATACGGTGGCCAAGAGTTTAGAAGATGCTTTGGAGACATGCAAGTTGGTGGTCGGCGATACGGTTGACGGGATGGTCGTGGAGATCTCGGTGTGGACGAGCACCATGGTCAGCATAGTGTTGTAGACATAGGGTCGAACTTGCTCCGGTCGATCGATCGAAGGCACCCAGTCAGGGGATCCAATGCCGGCGGTGATGGTATCATTTAATATGGTGGTGGTTGGGTTGACATATGACTGGAACAGTCGGTCTTCGATTTGGCTGAGTACGTCCCGGACAGTCTTGGCCTCTTCAGTTAGTTTGACAGAGAAAGCAGTCTCAAAGTTGGAGATTAGTTGTGGAACATATTCAGCCTGTAGGGCCTTGAGATTTGAGAGGGTGAGGAGGATTCGGACGTTCTGTTTTGTGGTTAGTGATCTGGTCGCAATAAAAACGGCGCCAATACTTACCCTGTTGCATGAATCTACAGAATCCGCCGACAGAACAGACAAGGCAGCATCGGTGGCTTGACTCGTGATTGCTGGGCGAGCAATGACCCATTCATTCTCTTCCTCAACACTTGTCGGACGCTCAGCATTTTCGACCAGCCCGCTCAGTGCTTTGTAGACACTTGATACAAATTGAGAGCGCACCGTTTGAAGCAATTTCGCAGGCGGCTGAGTGATAACATCCACAGAGCCTGGCTTTGCCATTGCCTCTGAAATATAGAGGATCTTCTGCATGCCTGCAAGGATAGCGCCCTCGAAAGCCACAAAGAACCCGGGCATCTTGGTTAGATCTCGATTATCCAAATCGCGGGTCCAATCTTCTAGCATCTTGCAAATCTCTGCATCTTTGCTCCAAGCAGCGCATGCCACACGGGCACAACGCTCCCTAGATACACTCACAAGAGACTTGAGCAGATCATGCGATTTCCCAGCGCTAGCAACCGGCCGTAGGGCCGCCATTTCACTGGCAGCGGTCCCCAAGATGATGAGGAATTTGCTCAAGTAATGCACTCCACTCAGTGAATTGGAGAACGGCGGCCAGAAGGCAAACTCCTCCCAGGGCTCTCCCAGTTTCGGGGCAGGCATTGGTAGGTTCTTCGGATCCAGCTTGAAGCGAGATTCTGTTGGGGTAATGCCTCTTGTCTCGGGGCTTGATGGACTTGCCGGAACCGGGGTAAAGAGCAAGGAGACATCTTCGGTTGGAAGCTCTGTGAAGAGGGCCAGGACGTTCTGTCGAATAAGGTTGACCAATTCCACAACGCCTGTCTCCAGCTCCTTGACGCTGCTGCTTGAGAGTCGGTGGTGTTTGCGGCTCTCGCCCTCAAAACCGACAGGTAGAAGCCGTTGTCGATTGCCATCGATGAAAGACTGGGCTACTTCCCAGAAATCCAACACCTCTCCCAGTAAACCGCTCTGCGACGAAAGAAGTCTGGTTAAAAACGCTTGTACACATTCCCAGAGCTCGATGACTTGATCAGTGTCCAGTCTCTCCGGCGAATCTGCTGAGCCATCACGAGGTGCCAGGCGAAGGTAGGATGCCGTAGCCTGTGGAGTTGGCCTCTCTCCAGCAGCAAGTCGTCTTCTCAATATTTCAATTTCGACCTTGCATCGGTCACAGAATAATGTGATCTTAGATTTCAGGAATTCATAGCGACTTTGAAGCCACGTCCAAATAGGGTTGTCCTCGACGCCCAGTTCCAGCAAAGCCCCGATCAGTTCCATATGCTCTTCCACAGGCCCAGAGGCAGTGCTCGTGGTCGATGTAGTGGGTGCATCACTAAGTCGCCTCCAGAGATCGCGTTTGAAATCCTGGATTTGTTGGTCAACATCCATCCACATGCGGCCCATGGTCAAGATAGTATGCGTTTCAGAGTCGTTCAGTTGCCGACGGGTGCTGGAAGCTTGGTCTGCGATATTCTTAGCTCCATTGGCGAGCGTCCTGGCTCTGGTATATTGCTCGAAAACAGAATCGTAATCTCGTTGTTGGATAGACTTGGACAGAAGACTTCCAATCTCATAGGCTTCACGGTGTTTCTCCATCGTCTCAACCACCGACTTCAGTACCTGTTCTCGTTCTCGACCTCCAAGAGCTGGCCCCCATACCTCCTCAGCCTTGACAGAAGCTTCCACCAAAGGACCTCGGATACCCTTCATGCCGTACTCGCTCTCTTTCGTGAGCGCCGTTTTCTTGGGAGTCACCACTGGAGCTGGTGATGGACTGCGGTTTTGACCTGAATAGCTCCGGAAGTGTCCTGACCTGCGGGGAGCTAGGGTTGGTTCCTTCTCCATGCCCTGGTTCCTCATCTCAGTGTAGACGGCATCGATGGTTGCCTTGGCGCGGACGAAACGTTCGAAGTTGGCCTCTACCAATACTTTCAGCGACGCGGACTTTTGATCGATCGATTGCGAGAGGTTGTCCAAGCCACCCATGAGCGATTCGATGGATGCCTGGGAATGCACTTGCGACAGGAAGAGTGCGGGGGAGAACGACGTCGATGATAGCAGGAACCGGGATCGCTGGCCACCTTCCTCCTCTAGGGGTACCCCGCGCTGCTTGAGGATGCGAAGGACGCTGTCGCCTGTCCCCAATGGGTCGGGTTCATCACTCTGCGCATTGTCTCTGCCTTCCTTCCCTCGTCGTGAACCAAAGTTGTTTCTCCAATCACTGGGACTGCGTTCAAGGGCGAAGTATCGCGATTTACGCGGACGAGAGTCTGCTCTCTGGAGGGGCTCTTCGTCAAGCTGATCGGCTTCGTCCAGAGCTGCCGGCCATTCTTCGGGGAACTCTGAAGGGAGGTTGTAGTGGCTCGCGACGTCGAGGTCGGCCATGTTGCCAGGCGTGGAACAAGCAAGAAACAAGAGAGCAATGAAATCAAGATCTCCAAGCTTCCAGATACATGTACAGTGTATTAGATATAGCTGTCAAGACCCTGGAGCAGCGGATAGAGAGTGGACTCGGCCCGGGGGAACATCAAACCACCAATGCGGTCAGAGTCCCGGTCGGATCGGGGCGGCGCCGAGAGATTTGATTCTTTCTCCCCTTCTCCTTCTTCCCTCCTCCCCACCACCTCTATCTTTACCTCATCCCCGACGTTCAAGATGCTTGCTGCTCGGAATTTCTCTGCTGCTCGTCAGACCCTGCGGTTCCCCCGCGTGGCTCCCAGCTTTGTTGCTCCCATTTCGCAGGTACCAACCCCCTCTACGCCTTCAGTCGCAAATCTTCAATTGGTTGACGTTTCTTGTTTTGATTAGGTGCGATTCTACGCCAGCCCTGCCCAGGAGGCCGTCGCCAAGTTCAAGGGCCAGAAGGGCTCTGATGTACGTTTTTTGTTCCGCCGAACCCGTTTTTTTTCATGCATGCCGGCGCCAGCCGCGTTGCGCACACCGACCACAATTCGATGCCAATGACCATGATCGCGCGTAAAAGTACACAATACTAATGTCAATCCTTTCTTTGCAATAGGGCAAGTACACTGTTACTCTGATTGAGGGTGATGGTATTGGACCTGAGATCGCTCAGTCCGTGAAGGACATTTTCGAGGCCGCCAAGGTAGCGATCTTTCAGCATATCGACCCTGCAACAGACACTAAATCAATTATAGGCCCCCGTCAAGTGGGAATCCGTTGATGTTACCCCCATCTTGAAGGACGGCAAGACCGCCATCCCCGACGATGCTATTGCCTCTGTCCGCCGCAACTTCGTCGCCCTGAAGGGTCCCCTCGCTGTATGTCAACACCACCTACGTTGCAGTTGAATTGCGACACTAAACAATGTTTCTAGACCCCCGTTGGCAAGGGTCACGTCTCCCTGAACCTGACTCTCCGTCGTACTTTCAACCTGTTCGCCAACTTGCGTCCTTGCAAGTCCATTGCTGGCTACAAGACCCCCTACGACAACGTCGACACCGTTCTCATCCGTGAGAACACCGAGGGTGAATACTCCGGCATTGAGCACGTCGTCGTCGATGGTGTCGTCCAGAGCATCAAGCTTATCACCAAGGAGGCATCTGAGCGTGTCCTCCGTTTCGCCTTCCAGTACGCGCAGTCCATTAACAAGAAGAAGGTCCGCGTCGTCCACAAGGCCACCATCATGAAGATGTCCGACGGTCTGTTCCTCAACACCGCCCGCGAGATCGCCAAGGACTTCCCCGACGTCGAGTTCGACGCTGAGCTGCTGGACAACTCATGCCTGAAGATCGTCACCGACCCCACCCCCTACAACGACAAGGTCCTTGTCATGCCCAACCTGTACGGTGACATTCTGTCTGACATGTGCGCCGGTCTCATCGGTGGTCTCGGTCTCACCCCCTCCGGTAACATTGGTGACGAGTGCTCCATCTTCGAGGCCGTCCACGGTTCCGCTCCCGACATTGCTGGCCAAGGACTCGCTAACCCCACTGCTCTGCTCCTGTCCTCCATCATGATGCTGCAGCACATGGGTCTCCACGACCACGCTGCCCGCATCCAGAAGGCCACCTTCGACACCCTCGCCGAGGGCAAGGCCCTCACTGGTGACCTTGGCGGTAAGGCCAAGACCCACGAGTACGCTCAGGCTATCATTTCGCGCCTGTAATCGAGTCGCTGCTCCGATCCTCTGTACTATGACCCTTTGATCTATTCCCTTTGTACCTTCGAACGACATTAGACCTATAGCGATCGAAATATACCTACGTTTGTGGTTACTATGATGTGCTTAATTCTTGCGCGAATTCGGAAGTTTTCTTCTTGATTATATATCCGCTGTGGTGGTTCGCATGCTGATTGAGTATTCATTGGTTGCTCATGCCAGAGGCCATAAAGTATACAAGATGCCTGCATAATCGTACACCTCACTGAAAATTAAACGCCCCTCGAACTCCATAGGTATAAAAGCTTAAAAGTGAAAAAAAAATCCCACTCATATTAACGCCGTCGGCCTGTCCTGCGCGTCGCAGTACCACCCGAAGGCTTCTTATCCTTAGCTTTGGATCGAGAGGTTTGCGCTCGAGTGCTGCGAGAACCCCCCTTCTCGCCATCACCTTCTTCCTCGTCACTGTTGGCATCCGAGACCTCGTCTCCTTCTTCATCGTCTTCATCATTTGCACCGGTATCTTCTTCTGAATCGCCATCACCACCTTCATCTGATACCTTGCCTTGGCTCCCTGTGCCAATCTCAACCTGCAGTCTAGTGGAGCGTGTTCCCCTTGTCGAGGTACGCGCGCTCCGGTTGGCGTTGCGACCTCGAGATGGGGCCGGCGAAGACCGTGGTTCTATAGGAGACAGGTGTCAGTCCCGGTCTTAAGACAACGGACGCATGTGATACCCAAACTTACCATCTGTATCGGCGACTGTACTACCTCGCCGCGACTCACCTGCTCGGCTCGCACGACTGGTGACCGGCGAAGAAGAGCCTTCCATGGCTAACCGTCTCTCAAACATCATATCGCCATATTCATCGTACGGTAGCTCGAACGCACAGTACATCTCGCTCGACCCCTCATCGTCCTCGTTGGCATCGGTGATTACCGAATCTTCCTAAAAGCGCATTACACATCAGCAAATGAAGAAGAGCGCGAACAAGCCATCTAGCTTCACTTACACGTTCATCAAGCGCTTCCAGATTGTACAATGTACCAAGTTTCTTCCAGATCCCGGGAATCCGCATATGTTCCGCCGTAGAGGGCGCATACCCCTGGCTCTTTAGGTAATCGGAGATTGCCAGCATCCGAAAGTGTTTGTGTAGGCCTGGGACCGAAACGGTTAGCAGCGCTGTCGACACAGTAGTTGCGCCAATTACACTCACCGACTGGCTTCCATTTTATGATCGCTTTCAGCAGGGCTGTTTCTTGCTCGTCTGTCCACGGGTCTGAGATGAGGTCGTACTCTGTGTCTGGTTTGCCGACGCTGTCGTTTGATCCGGGTGTGCCTGCGCTTGAGAGCGCCGTCGTATCATCTTGTGGTGTGGGCGAATGCGCGCGCTTTGTTTTCTTTCTTGGAGGCATTGCGACTTGGATATTGGAATCAGGGACCAAAAGAGGTCTGTTGGGCTGAATTGGAGGGGAGGGCGAAGGTGATGGTTGAGCTTCGAGGCAGGCGACGCACTTTCTGTTATCAAGGGTCCGTGCACTGCGATAGCCATCTCCGTCGCGGGACTCGCGCGTTCACCTCTCATGCAATGAGTATGGTCTCGCTATGGACCAATGTGATCAGCTGGATCCGTTCTCCAGTGAGAGTCTCTGGAGGCTCTCCAAGTTCAGCGTAGAAGCTCTACAGCCGCTAGAGTCTCTACCGTGGAACGCTACTCTACCTGGTAAGGCCCAACCAGAAATCTTTCAGAACTGTCAATAACATTGGCTTTTTGCTTAGAAATTCCGAGATCTTGCTTTGAGACACCTACCGAACCAAAAGAGAAGATTAATACCTCACTATGGAAGCTCGACTTCTTTCCAAGCGATTTGGAACCGCCCGAATCGGCTACCGACTCAATCATCAATCCCTCCATAGACGGCCTGTCTGATGCGCCATCTGACCCTGCAGCAGCTGCAGCCGAAGAATCCAAAAATATTTGGACCTTGGACTTGTTACGCGAAGACGATGCTCAAGTCACCCCGCAGAAATCGTGGGAAAAATATACGGAGAGGTCATTTCAAGAGCCAGTGTCTGCCTACTTCAGTGAATCGGGCGCGAGGGGATTTGATGCAGCGATGGCAAAGCAAACACTTATGAAAAGGCAGACGCCGACTCGACTGGTTCAAACGGATGTGTACGTTAGATCTCTGCTTCGACTGGGCTTAGGTTGGAAGTCAGCCTTCTTTCGATACAACGAAATCACGAGTCAATTCGAGAAAGAGATAAATGATATTCGGGTCTCTGGTGTCAGCTCTATGGCATTGGATGATGTCGTTGGATATGTGCTACAATGTGGCACTAATATGCACCAGATGCGATTGTTCGCGCAAGATCCTCCAGCCAAGTGCAGAGAACTGTCGGCTTTATTCACTTTGAGCCGCACAATAGCTGTCATCATCTTTAATCTCGAGCAACAGATCTTTGGACATTCACAACAACTCGCCTCACTGCTGCAAATTAGGGGCCTGTTTGACCGCTGCGGGGATCTGATGGGTGCCTTGGCAGCTATTGTTGGCACAGCTCAAAAGGCTTCCTCAGATGCGCAAATCATATCAATTGTCACGCAACGTGCAGCCTCCTTTGCTCAGAGTTTTGGCTGGATGGAGAACCTGTTGCATGAGATAGTGATTCGAGTGACCGAGCCGTGGTTCAAATTCATCGACGGTTGGATCGGGCTTCGACCAGAAGATGCCGCGCTTGAAGAATCAATCACTGGTGGTAAAACCTTTGTCGAACGAGCGATCCATCAACCTGGCAAGTTCAAAACCGGACCGGCACGAATCGAGCACGAATTTCAAGCAGACCATATGCCATCGTTCGTCCCAGCTGATCAAGCGCAATCCATCTTCGAAAGCGGTCGAAGCCTTCGAATGTTAAAGCGATCACATCCAAATCATCCTATCGGACGGCATGATGTTCTTTCCCGAGCTGGTCATCTTCATCTGCATTGTGCGACTTCCTGGGCTGACATCGAGCACATTCACACGAAGGCCCAGGAGTATGAATCGAAACTTCGCGCTGAGATCAAGAGATATCACCGAGGGGAGCCAGCAATTTCAACCACTCCATCCGAAGCACTCACGCAGGGTGCCAAACAATCGGCGGACGCAAGTGCTATCGAGGGGACCTTTGAGCTTTTTGACATAGATGATGAAAAATACCTCTCGGGGCCTGTCACAAACCGAAACGCTCTTTCGAGGGATATTTTCAATCAACTGCTTGACAAAGCCCGGAGGTTCGAGCCCGAGCCTATTGAGCAGACAAGCCATTTTGGTCCAGAGTTGACATCTGGCCTCCACCTCTCCCTTGCACCGATCATCTCGTCTCAAGCCCTTCTCATCGACTACTCATGCCTACACCATCTCTTCAAAGAACATCAAATGAGACATAATCTAAATCTACAATGGCGATTCCAGCTACTGGGAGAAGGCTCCTTCGTGTCGCGCCTGTCCAACTCCCTTTTTGACTCAGAAATGGAAAGTGGAGAAAGGAAGGCTGGTGTTATACGCAGCGGCGTGGACACTGGCTTACGACTCGGGAGTCGAGACACTTGGCCACCAGCCAGTTCAGAGTTGCGCCTCGTTTTAATCGGCCTTCTGGGAGACTGTTACTTCGGTAACGCAGATGCGGAGGATTCCGAAAAGGGCCAGAATCAAAAAGATAATGAAATGCCGGGTGGGCTTAGCTTCGGCATTCGAGAATTATCGAACGAAGAAATAGACAAATGCAAGGATCCAAGCTCAATCGAAGCTCTGGACTTCCTTCGTCTACAATACACCCCGCCGGAAGCACTCGAGGCCATCATTACTGCGCGGTCTCTCGATAAGTATGATCGCCTTTTCAAACACTTGCTTCGGCTGCTCCGTATGGTTTCCGTTGTCAAAGGACTCGTCCGTGACTCGACTGTGCGAGGATCTCTGTCAGGAGACACACGAAACGTGTTTCAAAAGTTCCGAGTGGATGCTCAGCACTTTGTTCTAGCAGTTAGCGACTACTGCTTCCATGTTGGCGTTGGATCGATCTGGCAACGCTTCCAAGAGACACTCGCCAAAATCGAGTACTGTCTTGACCGTGGTGATATCGACGGCACAATCGAAGCGGCTCACTCTGTACCAAGACTTCGCGACTACCATGAGGATATGCTTGACCAGATGTTATTTGCGTTCTTCCTAAGCAAGCGACACGCGCAGGCGGCCAAATTGCTCGAATCGATTTTCGGCACTATCCTCGCCTTCAGTCCACTATCAAAGGCAGATGGGAGCGGGCTGCGTCACGAGGCCGAAGGAGCTGCTCTCTACTTGTACCAAACATTCCGCAAACAGACATCTGCGTTTGTTGGCTATCTGCGCAGTTTGGAGTCTGGCAAGGCCACTTCGAAATCTATGGCTAAGTCGGGAGCATTCTTTTCGTCGCACACGGAGCCAACCAGTGTCTTTGAGCATCTCCGTGTGAGATTAGACCTGAAGGAATACTACTAACCAGACCGAGTCATTCGCCATGGACTGAGAAGAGGTGATACATGTACAAAATCGCATGGATCTGTTCTTGGTCATTTTGTTACCGCAAGCTCTCCATGAAAAAAATCCCACATTATGATTCACGATCCACGAAATATCTATCAAATACAATCCTTTATGCAAATTCAATCCCAATGTCTTTATATCCGTACCATTCAATGCTCAACCCTAGGCTTTCATGCCAATCATTTACAAATCAACACAAACGACCCCTGCTCCAATGCATACCCCACAAGACGGCTGATAGTCCAAATCTAGAAGAAATGAAGATCCGACTCCGCCCAGCCCTTTTCAAGAAGAATCTTACGAGCAGATTTCTCCATAGGTCCCGGACCACAGATCAAAACCATACTCTGCTCTTCAGGCGCAGCATACTCCGCAAGCAATTCCTCAGATATCCGACCCCGTCGCCCAGTCCAGGCATCAGAGCCCTGGGTCAGCGTATGCACAACAGTACACTTCCGACTATCAGCCGCAACATAAGCATCAAGATCCTCTCGACACAAGATATCCTCTTCCAATCGATTCCCATCGAGAACAACACACGTCGTCGGATCTTCCTTATCCTGCATGACAGCCCGCAGGACTTGGAAGATGGGCGTGATACCCGTTCCACCGCAGATCATTTTGAAAGAGCGCAGCTGGCGCTCTTTCCCACTGATAACGACCCGGCCGTTGCCGAGGTACTCGAATCGACCTGTCGGGCCCTTGCAGTCGATTTCAGAACCGATGGGGAGGGCATCAATGGCCAGGGACATTTTTCCTCCTGGGATTGTATCTGTTGGGAAATAGATCTTCACGAGTAACTCCATCTTCCCTACCAGATTCGTGTCTGACATTGGCGTGTAAGATCTGATTATTGCTTCCTTGGTAGATGGATCTGGGAGCTTTATCATGAGATGTTGACCGATTGGTAGACCGAGGGTTTGTTTGTCGTGTTCCAGGTCGAAGATGAAGACCCGCGTGTCCCAGGATACATTCCTTTTCTCGGTGAGTGTGGCCTTGGTCCATGCTCTGGATTGGAGGAATACTGGGCGTGGCTCGTTTGAATCTGATGTTGAGTTGTTCTTGAGTGCTTCAAGAGATGCTTTGTCTAGTGTGCCAATATGATAGTCGGGCATCATTGCCTTGGCGGTTTCACTGTCTGGGAGGTCTTTAGCGATGAAATGAATAGAGACTGTTTGCCGTGTAACTTACGGATTGCAAGGAAGTCTTCCGATACATCCAGACCAGCGGAAGATGTGATACTGATCGCTCCTCCTGGATGTCCGAGGAGGAAACCGGTGCCATCGTATACTTCCCCATTCACAACAAACCAGGGCTTCTCACTCGTACTGTTCGCCTTCAACTCCTGCAAATCAATCTGCCTGCTCACGCCATCCTTCTTCATATTGATCTCTTTCACAGGCTCAGGCTCAACGGGTTCCTCGCCTTGAGCCCGCTCACCCCAATTACCATTGAGCAAATCGCCACCGGATTTCTTGACTTTCTCCATCCACCCTCCGGCCTTACTTGGGTGTGTTGGATGTTCGAATTTGAGAATGTTCCCTTCTTTTGTGATTGTGACTCGGAACCAGGGATTGTTCATCATGCCCAAGACTGACCAGTACATATCCCGTGGCTGGGCAGCAAGTGCTTCATCCACTGCCCGGACGAGAATTGCATCGCTGGCTTCCAGGTCCGAGACTGGGATCTCTAGAGACCAGAAGGACCAGCAGAAACTTGCTTCCCTCCACCACATGTCTACCTTGCCGCCGAATAGGTTGCCCTCGAAATTTCGATATTTGTCTTCTGCGTATTCGATCTCACAGAGACGCCAGGCTGGAAGAAAAACACAAGTATTAGCTTTGTCCACCTTGAGGTTATCATCATAGCTGATGTTCGTACATTTGCCCCCGTCGAGAGAGATTTCAACTCTTGTTATTCTCCGCCCTCCACCAGCATACGCATATCCTTTGGCCGTATAGGTGGGCCCAGCCATGGCTAGATCAAGTTCCTCTTCGTGCTGAGGATACGCAGCAACAGAGTTGACATTGAGATCATAAATGGCATATCGGTCATCAGTCCACCACTTGCGGTCCTGAGCAGACATCTCTGGCGACACCATCGTTCTGGCATTGTCAGTCAAATAACCCCAGCCATCGAACCACTGCAGTGGATGACGAAAGAACAAGACACTCACGGCAGGACTCGGTTATCATTGATATGATACCAGTTATCGCTGGGCGCGTCCGTCAAAATTAACTTCTTCAACCACTTCACACTTCGTCCGCCAATTTGACCCGGTACCACTGCTCGCAGGGGCCGACCATGATCAGGTCGAAGATCTTCGCCGTTCATCTTGTGGGCCAGCATAATTCCTCGGTTCGGATCCATGGCCCAGTTCAATTTGACTGATGTTCCATAGAAGCCATTAGGCTGTGGGATATATTAGCCTTAGCCTATGTCTGACACACTTTCTCCCAGTGGTAGGATGGGTTGTCTCACCAGCTTGTCAGCACCCTCCATACACACATACTTTGCACTTCTGAGTGGCTTCGCACTACGGATTATATCTGCCATCATGGGACCCGTGAATAAGGCTGTCGAGAGACCCGCTGGACCCCATGAGAAGCCTTTCGACTTGCGGACTGTGTTTTGTTCTTTTCGTCTGTTTCCAGCACAGACGAGTGTGATCGGTGCTGTGATCTGGTCGTACTTCTGGAGAACTTCTCGGAAGTTGAGGACTAAGGGTTTCTCCACTAGCCTGATTTAGTTGTTAGCTCTCTGGGACATAAAGATATGGAGGTGGCTATGCTAACCCTTCAATACTGATCTCCCAGTTTGGAATATCTACATCGTTAACTTGGGGCACTGGCCCGTGGTTCCGCACATAGAATAGTTCCGGGGATGTAAGAAAGCCTTGTGGATTTAGTCTTTAAGCCGGTTCTTAGGATATTAAGGCTGCCATACCTTCTTTGTATAAATCGGTCAACGGCGGCTCGACGTTGAATGGATGTACACCCGTTAATCGAATCAATCGTGGGTCGCGAGGTACATGGTTGTCCGGTGTGTTTTTATCCGCATCTAGAATGTCGACGGGATTTTTTGATGGTGGTGGAAGAGGAATATCTGGCTCTGCTGGACTTGGAATTATATCTTCCACTGTGATGTGTCCATTTTTGAAAGGGATTGTGTCCTCTGGTTTTGTTTGCGTGGTGATTGTGGCCATGGTGCTATTGTGAGGCTTCTGGCACTACTTTGTTTTCTGTCGATATAGTATGGCGATATAGAATGATGCCTTTGTATTTAGATTTGAGAATAAGACACTCGACAAAAAACGATTGAATAATTGTAACAAAAACGCAGATTGCAGACGTACAACCAGCAAACACCCATATATTCACCGCTGCACCATTGGAGGGTCACAGTACATGGTAAGCAGAGAAAATCCCCCACAGTCGCCACACGTCCATCTCCGCGGACAGTCGCCAATATAACCTCATTGTATAGTCAAGTGGTGAGTGTTATCTCGTGTTGTCGAGATAAGCAAGCCCTAACAGTAGCCAATCACAGTAGCCCTGATTAGTATGAACCTCCGCGGAGATCCAACGCCACTGCGGTTATCTGTGATCGACGTTCCTGTTTCCCCCGGCATTGCATGATTAGCCTCAATCTGTCTGTACAATGTGAGTGTCACAGTATTACAGTTGTAAAAGTTAGCGATTACAGTTTCTTAAAACTAGAATTATGGCCCTGTTCCGTAGTTTCTCCTATCTTCAGTTGCATACTATACATCATGCCTGTACTCGACGGGCTACGACATGGCGAGCCGGTTGACGGCAGTCCTAGTCCAGCAAACAATGTCCACAGAGAGAAGATTGTTGTTGTTGGACTGGGAATGGTTGCCATCTCATTCATGTAAGGATTGTCGCCACGTTAAGTGTTCGCGTCAGCGTCTAACAATCGACGATCAATAGCGAGAAAGTTATCAAACAAGACACAGATCGAAAATACGATATCGTCGTTATTGGAGAAGAGTCTCACGTAGCGTACAACCGCGTGGGGCTTTCGACGTTCTTCGAACACCGCAAGATCGAAGATCTATACCTGAATCCGAAAGAATGGGTTAGTATCAACTTCTCCGATTTGGAAACAAGAGGCAGTCACCCTAACTGCGAACTATATCAACTAGTACGGCTCATTCAAAGAACGAGCCTTTGACCACCACCTAAACACAAGAGTCACTGAAATAAACCCCACAAACAAAACCGTCCAGACATCAACAGGCGACATAATATCCTACGATATCCTTGTCCTAGCCACAGGATCCGACGCAACCCTTCCTACACGAACACCAGGCCACGATGCCAATGGTGTCTTCGTGTACCGCACGATCTCAGATCTGGAACGGCTGATTGACTTCGCTTCCAAGCATAAAGGCAAAACGGCCGTTACGGTCGGTGGCGGTCTGCTCGGACTGGAAGCCGCAAAGGCGATGACTGACCTGGAAGACTTCGGGAATGTCAAATTGATCGATCGGAATAGATGGGTGTTGGCGCGACAGCTTGATGGCGATGCGGGGTCGCTGGTTACACGCAAGATTCGGGAGTTAGGACTTGATGTCCTTCACGAGAAGAGGGTGAAGGTTGTCCATACGGATGAGGGGAATAATGTTGTGGGAATCACCTTTGAGGACGGGGAGAGGATTGACTGTTGTTGTATCTGCTTTGCGGTATGCTATCCGCTTGCTCTGGATCTTGGAATAAGTGCTAATTGATGTTAAGATCGGTGTTCAGCCCCGAGACGAACTGGGTCGTGGGATTGGCATCCAGTGTGGCGAGCGTGGAGGGTTCGTGATTGATGAGAATCTGCAAACCTCCGTTCCGGGTATCTATGCCGTCGGTGAATGCGCGAGCTGGGAAAACCAGACATTCGGAATCATTGCGCCGGGAATTGAAATGGCAGATGTGCTTGCCTTCAACCTCACGAACCCTCGAAAGGCACAGAAAAGCTTCACACGACCGGATCTCAGCACCAAGCTGAAATTGCTCGGAGTCGATGTCGCGAGCTTCGGTGATTTTTTCGCTGACAGAGATGGACCAAAATTCCTCCCTGGTCGCCGGCCATCGGCTGTTCCTGGCTTTGAAGAACCTTTACGCGATGAGCCCGTCAAGGCTTTGACATACAAAGATCCTTTTGCTGGCGTATACAAGAAGTATCTGTTTACCATGGACGGCAAGTTCTTGCTAGGTGGCATGATGATCGGAGATACCAAGGACTATCTGAAGTTGAACCAGATGGTGAAACTGCAGAAGGAGCTCGAGGTCCCACCAAGTCAGTTCATCCTTGGTGCTCAGAGTGGCGGGGAGGAAAATGCAGATGACCTGTGAGTATTCGTACTGGTATATGACGATCAGCACTAACTTTTACCCGCAGTGACGATAGCACGCAGATCTGCTCCTGCCACAATGTGACCAAAGGCGACGTGGTTGACAATGTGAAAAACGGCACTTGCACATCTATCGCGGAGGTCAAGTCTTGTACCAAGGCTGGCACAGGATGTGGCGGTTGCATGCCGCTGGTACAGTCAATTTTCAACAAGACGATGTTGGACATGGGACAGGAGATCTCCAATAACCGTAAGTTATATCATTATATCACACCCACAGGATCTCCAGTCATAGCTAACTGGCGCAGTGTGCTCACACATCCCCTACTCACGAGCCGACCTATACAACATCGTGGCGATCAAGCAACTGAAGACATTCGTCGATGTGATGAAAACCGCCGGAAAGAATCCAGATTCTCTTGGCTGCGAATTGTGCAAGCCCGCAATCGGATCCATCCTGTCTAGTCTGTTCAACCCCCATGTTATGGACAAGGGCTACAATGACTTGCAAGACACCAACGACAAATTTCTTGCCAACATCCAGAGGAACGGCACATTCTCCGTGGTGCCCCGAGTTCCTGGTGGAGAAATCACAGCCGATAAGCTCATTGCCATTGGATCTGTGGCGAAGAAATATGGTCTCTATTGTAAGATCACTGGAGCTCAACGAATTGATATGTTCGGAGCGAAGAAGCAGGATCTTCTCAATATCTGGACGGAACTTGTGGATGCTGGCATGGAGAGTGGACATGCATATGCGAAGGCCCTGAGAGCAATCAAGGTACGTAAAAGCGCTTCGGTTCATATGGTACTTGGCTGACCTCGAAATTATAGAGTTGTGTTGGAACCACATGGTGTCGCTTTGGTGTGGGTGACAGTGTCGGCATGGCGATCCGCCTGGAGGAGCGATACAAAAGTATTCGCGCACCACACAAGTTCAAAGGCGCCGTGTCTGGCTGCGTGAGAGAGTGCGCAGAGGCCCAAAACAAAGAGTGAGCGCTTCCTAGATGATGATGAGGTTGCTTCGTACTAACAGTTACCAGTTTCGGACTCATCGCAACCGAAAAAGGGTTTAACATCTTTGTCGGAGGCAACGGAGGCGCAAAGCCCAGACACGCCGAGCTTCTCGTGACAGACGTGCCACCAGAAATGGTAATGCCCATTATCGACCGATACCTAATCTTCTACATTCGCACCGCCGACAAACTCCAACGAACAGCCCGATGGATCGAGAACTTGCCTGGCGGAATTCACTACCTCAAAGAGGTCATCGTCGAGGACAAACTCGGTATATGCGCCGACATGGAAAGACAGATGCATGAGCTGGTCGATAGCTACTTCTGCGAATGGACCGAGACAGTCAAAGACCCCAAACGTCGCAAAGTCTTCCAGCAATTCGCAAACACAGACGACACCGTCGAGACAGTCGAGGTAGTCCAAGAACGATCCCAGCAGCGCCCAACATACTGGCCCAAGGACTCCACAGAACAACAGGATTTCAAAGGTCACCAGTGGTCAAGTGTATCCTGGCAACCAGTTGTTCGCGCAGACCACTTCTCCGACGAGCCGCCGCAGGTTTCCTCGGCTAATGTCAAGCGCGGGGATACACAACTTGCCGTCTTCAAGATCAAGGGCAAGTACTATGCGACTCAACAGATGTGTCCTCACAAGCGAGCATTTGTTCTCTCCGATGGTCTTGTCGGTGATGATGATGCGGGCAAGTACTGGGTCTCGTGTCCGTATCATAAACGGAACTTCGACCTCAATGGCGAGCAGGCTGGCAGGTGCTCTAATGATGAGAGTATGAATATTGCTACGTTCCCTGTTGAGGAGAGGGATGATGGCTGGGTTTATATGAAGCTTCCGCCAATTGAGGAGTTGGATGGGGTTTTGGGAACAGAGAAATGGAAGATTCGAAAGGATGAGAGCGAGGATCCGTTCCATAAGGTTGATAAGAAGTTCAAGGGGATGAAGGGGAAGAAGGCTTCTAGTGGGAATATCCTCTCCCGCGCGCCAGCTGTGCAGCCAGCGAAGACTATTGATTGGTAGATGCGTGGGGGTTGATGTATCGTTTAAGATTTTGCGATTAAATGCATTTGGTGCATGGCGGTGTTGGGATATCTTTTGAAATGTCATATAGTTTGATTGAAAATGATGACTGGTTTTCAGCTTTTGTCAATATATTGCTTTGTCAACCTCATAGATTGGGGTATATCTGTTCCACAAGGTCCGGCATTTTATGGCTGTATATCGTGAGGTGCCAGGTTGACCTCGTCCAATGGAGGCCACCAATGTGACCACATGCCCTGCTCATGAGCATACGTACTGACTTCATTCAGTAAATTGCTGAGAGGCATGTCCAGATCTAGCATATCAGATCCAATATTAGATTCCAGGACGGGATCAGGAATCAACGGGACAGAAGTTGCTTCCGCGCCCTCAATCTCCTGGAGATGCTGATCAGATCTATCAGGCACGCGGAATTCATGTAAAGATTGGTGCAAAACATTGAAATCCTTCCGCGTCTTTCCTTGGTATCGTGATTTGTCGGATGCTGCCCGTTGATACAAAATGGTTGCATGATTGATAGTTGCGATCTTTGCGTAGCAATCGTTAGTCTGGAACAGTGAGATGAGACAACTCGGTACTGACCCAACTTTCACCAAGCTTCCACACATGTCTGAATTTTTCAAGATAGGCAAGGCAGTACTTGAGATGAGTTTCTGCATCTGGACTGCGGCCAAGATTCATTTGTGGAAATAGGAAGGCATAAAGGTTCATATATGCCGCAGAAAAAGCACAGAACCCAACAAATGGGATAAGCATTTCTGATCCACAGTCGGAGGCATCGTGCAATAGTTTGGCAATCTGTTCTGCTGCGCCAAAAAGCACCGAGGCGCTTTCATCCCACCAGCCTTCTGGTGCTTCCGCCTCGAGGGTCGGCTGATCGACTGGGCCTCTAGGAACAGATGCCGGTGTAGGTAAGAAAGGAAAATACTCGCGATGGAGCATGATGGTACTGTCAAACACCGTTAGCATTTATCTCCGGCATTAGGTAATATACTGCTCGTACGAAGTGTAATAGAGCAAATTGATATACGTGAAAGATTCGCCCCATCCTAAAGTGGTATGAGCCACAACGCTGTTGTTCGGATAGTGGAGTCTGTGATGTTGACTGGCCCTCCACTCTTCAAGGTGACGCATCGTTTTAGACCATGGTGATTCCAGTGCCCACGGGCAATTCTGCGGTGCACACATTCCCGGTGCGCGTCGCCCATCATTGAAAATAAAGGTCATTACGTGGGCCCATATATCATACCCAGCGACGAGAACCTCAAACGATTGCGTTATGTCCAAAGGTGCAGTCTGTCCGTGTCGTGCAGTCGCAAAACTGGGGTCAAGACCTGTTTGTTGAGAGGAGAGGTCGGAAGGTCCAAATGCAAACTCGACAGCACTCAATGGGCGAGTTATTTTGAGCTTATCCATTTCTGACATGGGTAGCATAGGTGGGTTATAGGTTCCGGAACTAACCATTCGGTCTATGATGAAGCAAGCCCAGAATGTCCTGTTCTCAATCGCAACTGAGATGGCATCCCGCTGACTTGGGGGTGTTGGATCAAGGGGATAAGGTGCGACTCTGAGACTATTCAGAGCTTGCATGATCCGGATTGCAATTCCTGTGCGGTGTTAGATCATTGTTCGTTACGCAGGCTGAGATAAATGGTACCGCAATAGATCCACGCTCGATGAAATTCTCGGGATCCCCATTCGTAAAGACTCATGATTAACAGAGCCTGTGCAACCTGGAGCTTTGGTGGCTTGAAAGACCATTCAGACAGCATCTCATGCGCATAATAGGCATAATGCTCTCTGGGTAGCAACGAATCAACCCATGGAAGATTGAGAAGTGAAAATTGGGACCTGGATGAAGCCAATATAGCTGCAAGTACAATCTTGCTTTCGGGTGGGATTGGTGACGACTGGTATTCTTTGACAAAAGCTGCATGGTTTAGGATTGCAAGTTCTGGGTGTTTCCCAGTGAATCCATTCAATGATTTCAAGATGACATCCCCTGAAATATTGGTAAGATGTCTGTCGACTGTCGACTTGTCTATACATTGACCAGGGCTTGATGCATCAGGTTGAACTGTAGTATCCACTTCTTCTGAGGGCCTTGTCCGACGCGGCTCGGGTGCATCCTGCTGAATTGGTCGTTCATAGGGATGATTGGTAGACTTAGGCCTGCGCCTGGGCTTTTGAGGTGTCTTGTTTACCGGTCTGCTGAGTACACAGCCATCAATTTCCGATTTCCGACACCTCTGACATGGCGCTGTCCCCGAGTGGATGCATTTCACTTTCGATCTCCTAATATTAATGAGCTTCTGGAACTAAGTGGGCGGTAAATTGGATCTTACCGGCATGATGCACATGAGATACTTGAGCGCATACCGATACTCCAGTCAAATCTCGCATTAACAAGCGCGTTTTGTCGCTCGGAACTCGTCGGGAATGATGTCGGGACTGGGTTTGCTGAGTCATCATTTCCGTCAATTCCGAGGTCCCGTGCCAGGAGGCTCTTTTCCAACAATAAATCCTTCTCTGCGTTTACATATGGCCTACATTGTGTTATGATGTTCACCGTAGGCAGCAGAGATGTCTGTAAGAAGCCCGGGCCCTGACGCGTTTATTTTCATCAAGTTTGACAGGTTTCCTGTGACGACATTCATATAATCAATGTTATCCTAGTTCACTTGAATATATTCATGCAACGAAACACACTTTTGGTCATGACGAAAAACGTTACACAAAAACAAAGATTTAATTTCCATTCCCTTACCTTTCGTCGCCACCGCAAAAGATATGAGAACTGGTTGGGTTCGATACAAGGCTCGGGTTTGAGACTCGGATTCGAGTCCAGTTGTCGGCTTTGATACTCGCTGGGTCTCGAAATTTCATTTCCCACAAGGGATTCTTTCTTTTAAATACCACTCAAGGTAGCAATTTATTTTGAATAGTTCAAGCCAGGGGTTGTCCTGATCCGTTCAATTGCTACTTTTTGGGTCGTCTTGCTCTATTTAAGCCACAATGCCTTCTTTTGCGACCCACTCTATCGGCACAGAAGCCATGGAAAAGCGGAAGTTCTTGAACAGCATCCAGGAAAGAAGAACCGAAGCTGGAAAACTTGTTGCTGGTGTAGCTGCTGTATGCAACAGTGAGAACTTCAAGGCGCCGGTAAGAGGAATGACTCGATCTTATAAACTGGTTCTGACACGCAAAAGGCATCCAATAAGCCAAACGCCAAATGCTGGGACTGTAAGGACTTGGGCCTCTAGAATCATTTTCTGGTTGCATTCAATGGCTAATGAAACATCTAGCTCATCTCAGCAAAGAGAGCCTGTCCCGGCCGCTATGCATTCTCAAACAGGCCGCTGGTTACATCAACAATCCCGACATGGTCTCGCTCGGAGGTGGACTCCCATCCAGCGAGTGCTTCCCATTCTATGACTGGAGTTTCCGTGTGCCCATGCCACACGACTTCCCCAGCAAGGATTTAGCCTCGGCAGATTGTCCCACGACTCAGACCGTCAGCATCGGGAAGCATGACGTGAAAGCTGGAATCTCCGAGTATGATCTTTCCATTGCCCTCAACTATGGCCAGGCCACAGGTTCTCCTCAGATGATGCGGTTCATCACCGAGCACACGGAGCTGGTGTACAACCCGCCCTATGCCGATTGGAAGGTCTGCCCGACAGTCGGAAGCACCGGTGCTCTTGAGCAGACTATTCGTATGCTTTGTGATCGCGAGAGGGGTGACACTATTCTTACCGAAGAGTATAGCTTTTCCACGGCGCTGGAAACCTTCCTCCCTCAAGGGATTAAGCCGGTTGGTGTTCAAATGGATGATGAAGGACTCCTTCCGGACAGCATGGATGAAATTCTCAGTTCGTGGGATGAGAAGTCACGTGGATGTCGTAAACCGCATGTTTTATACACCATTCCCTCGGGACAGAACCCAACCGGCGCGACTCAGAGTCTCCAGCGACGTCGTTCCATCTATGCCGTCTGCCAGAAACACGATATCTTCATCATCGAGGACGAGCCATACTACTTCATTCAAATGCCTCCATACCAAGGCAAGAAGATTGATAGTCCTGAAGTCTCCGAGGATGTCGAAACTTTCCTTGCCGGGCTTGTGCCGTCGTACTTGAGTCTCGATGTTGATGGCAGAGTGCTGCGCATGGATTCCTTCTCGAAGGTCCTCGTGCCGGGCTCGAGATTGGGATGGGTTACTGCGAGTGCGCAAATAATTGAGCGTTTCATTCGGCATGCCGAGGTTGCCAACCAGGGACCTAGTGGAGTTTCACAGATCATGCTTTGGAAATTGCTCGACGAGACTTGGGGCCATGAAGGTTATCTGAAGTGGCTGATTTCATTGAAGAACAGCTATACTAAGAAGAGAGACATGCTTCTTGCTGCTTGCGACAAGTACTTGCCAAAATCTGTTGTCAGTTGGAGTCCGCCTACAACAGGCATGTTCGTAAGTTTTCCCTCGCGCTGGCAGACTTTGGCCCCTACTTCCCTCGATGGTCATGCTCAATGTATTTACAACTGCTGACATATACCCATAGCTCTGGCTGAAGTTAGATCCGTTGCAGCACCCGGATTATCCCGGCCGCTCAATTGAAGACATCGAAGGAGGAATCTTTGATCAAGCCATCAAGAACAACGTCCTCTGTGCTCGTGGCACCTGGTTCCGAGCTGAACCAAGCACGCCGGCACGAGGTATGTTCTTCCGTGCGACATATGCAAGTGCAACCGAGGAGGCTATGGGTATTGCTATCCAGCGATTTGGCGAGGCGATTCGCCAGTCTTACCACATTGACCAATGAATTTCAGAAGAGTATTTGGATTAAATGATCTGTCACATACCTCACGTTTTAATGAATGAAAGAATATAGAAGTATCGAGGTATCGAGTTCCGCATTCTATACCGAAACCCTAATTCGTCCACTTTGGGATAACGGTTCCAAGGTCGAATTGAACATTAGGTCATCATCAGGGTCCACCATTGTTCAGACAGCCCCATAGAGACTCCAGTCGAGTTTAAATATCTCCGCGGAGACCAGATCGACGGGATCCTCAGACCCGCTGGGCTGACTTTGCCCCCAAGTGCCTATCGCAGCCAGCCCAGGGTCCAATGAGAGGGCGCGCGTTTATCAACTGCCAGGTTCCTGACGGAGTGGAGTGTTCCACCCCCGGAGTCATGTAATAATATTATTGCATTAGCAATGCTATATGTTATGGTGTTCCGCGGAGTTACAATAGAGTTGATTTATCTGTCTTTTGCCTCTATTCTTGGCTCGGGAATTCTATGCATCCCGACTACCATAGGTTCTCCGGGTACACACCTTATCTCTACCACAATTGCAGCACAGGCTGCCGCGGCACTTTGAGGAATGAATTCTGGAGCAATCGGTACATCTGCCGGTGAGTGATCATTGGATCATTGGATCATCACAGCCTTGATTCACAATGTCTTATCGAATCAGCGACCCGGGATATACTCGGATCAGGGTGGTCGTTGCCTTTTACTAACCATTTTCTATTGACAGCGCCTAGCCACAATATTCTGCCGATCTGCTATGCGACAGATAATGGCGTTGATTGTTGTTATTGCATGTCATCTGAGAACCATGCCTCCGCGACCTGAGCATCACTGACGATTATATAGTTCCTCGTATCTACTTTCGTTTTCACGTCGATTTCTATCAATTATCACAGCGGTCTTCTTTCTTCTTAATCAACAATCAAGAAGCTGTATCAAGATACTCGAGCCACTTTTAACTTATATATCGGCCCTTGAGCCCCAGACCCCGTCGCTTAATTAAATTTCCTCAACTATACATCGAATTCCTCAACATGGCAATGAGTTTTATCAAGACTCTTTTTGCCTCACCGGAGGTCAACCCAAGCACCCGAAAGGCCAAATCGATTCCTATATTGAACCCCTTCGACCAATATGGACGAGTATTCTTCTTCTCATGGGTTGGCTTCATGGTCGCATTCCTGTCATGGTATGCATTCCCGCCACTGGTAAGTCAATGGTGCAAGAATGATAAATCTTCGTGATCATAATTCTAACATAATGTTTTAGTTGACAGTCACTATCAAAAAAGACCTGCACATGACGCAAGCAGAAGTCGCCAACTCCAACATTATTGCACTCCTCGCCACGTAAGTCACCGAAAAATTATACCACAGGAAGGATCCTTGCTGACTGAATCAAGGCTCCTCGTGCGGCTTGTGGCAGGACCACTTTGTGACCGCTATGGTCCACGCCTGGTCTTTGTAGGACTTCTCCTCTGTGGAGCAATCCCTACTGCCATGGCTGGTCTTGTCACCAACGCAAACGGGTTGATTGCTCTAAGATTCTTCGTTGGAATCCTAGGAGGAACTTTTGTTCCATGCCAGGTCTGGTGTACAGGTTTCTTCGACAAGAAGATTGTTGGTACAGCCAACTCCCTGGCCGGAGGATGGGGTAATGCAGGTGGAGGAATCACATAGTAAGTTCTTATTTCAGTCACCATCCAATCATATTCATACTAACAGCAATATTTCAGCTTCGTGATGCCAGCCATATATGACTCCCTCATGCAATCCCGCGGTCTTCCCTCCCACAAAGCGTGGCGCGTCGCCTACATTGTTCCGTTCATTATCATCTGCGTCGTCGCCATGTGCATGCTCTTCCTCTGCGAAGACACGCCCACAGGAAAATGGTCTGAAAGACACCTCTGGGCAAAGGAGTCGAGCGGCACTGCGACGCCCTTGGATGGGAACATCGTCGACCTTAACACAGGCACATTCTCCAGTGGAATGACCACACCCTACAACCCAGCAACAATAGATATCGAGAAGAAGGGCGCCCAGACACCACAGGTTATGGACAAGGACAGTTCCGCAGTAGGACAGATGGACAACATCTTCAAACAAGAAACTGTCGTCGCCCCATCTCGCAAGGAAGCTCTCAACGTGGCTTTGAGTCTGTCCACAATGGCCGTTGCTATTCCCTATGCCTGCTCGTTTGGATCTGAGCTCGCCATCAACTCAATCCTGGGATCTTACTATGAGAAGAACTTCCCACACATGGGTCAGACTGAAACTGGTCAATGGGCTGCCATGTTCGGGCTGCTGAATGTAGTCTGCCGTCCTATGGGTGGTCTCTTTGGTGACTTGGTTTACCGGGCTACTGATAATGTCTGGTCGAAGAAACTTTTATTGACATTTTTGGGACTCGCTATGGGCGCATTCCAGCTTGCGATCGGATTATCCAATCCGACGAAGGAGTCTGCCATGTTCGGTCTTATCGCTGGAATGGCTTTCTTCCTTGAGGCCTGCAATGGTGCTAACTTCGCCGTTGTGCCTCATGTTCATCCATTTGCTAATGGTAAGTCTTTGCGTTCCACTCTTTCAAATCATGTTCGCATACTGACATTTCATTAATAGGCATCGTCTCTGGAATTGTTGGTGCCTTTGGTAACCTTGGAGGAATTATCTTTGCCATTGTTTTTAGATATAATGGAGCTCACTATGAGCGATCGATGTGGATCATCGGTGTCATATCCTTGGGGGCAAACTTGGCTGTCTCTTGGATCCGCCCTGTTCCCAAAAGTCAGATGTCTTAATGCGAATAACTAAGTTTTTTTTAATAACGAATCGATGTCAAACTCCACTTCATACATGTCATGCAGTTATATCTAGTTTTCGAGCTACCCTCTGTTTCCATGTAGCTACTATGAGTCTTAAGTCTTAAACAAATCGCTAATAGACTCATCGTGAGCACTAGAAGCTGAATAATTCACTCCGTCTTTTTACAAACGGATAGATCAGTAGTTCTGCGAGGAACGATCCCACAGTTATCCCAATTGATCCTTCCACTATATCAAACCCCGGATCCACTGTATAGATCCGGGATGAATCCACCGCATACTCTGTGTAGGCAGTATGGTTGATTGTACTGGATACATTTGTCCGGGTCTCGTCAGCAGATTTGCCACTTAGAAGAGGCCCCGAGGCCGCCAGCCATGATGGCACTAGTACAAAAGATTCCCGGCAAGATAGATGTTGCCGCATGGCCATGCCATAGACGGCTATAAAGATTGCCTATCACGCCAATCGTGAAGGCGCCGACGGTGTTGGCAACTTGAGAGCTGAAGCTGGTGGGCTATGTCACAAATAGGTGACAACGTAGCCAGCTTCTGCGATGATCGACATGACCGGAGCCTGTTTCCACCGGCCCTGGCTGATCACTAACAAGCATAATATGAATACTGCCACGAATGAAAACAGCGGCGCATATTCGTTGCTCCATTCTGCCTCTTGTTGTAGTTGTTTTAAAATGGTATTCTGCAAAGGTGGGGGTGTGAAAAGACTTATGGCCTATAACTGCCATTTTTGTGCTACTTCATAAAGCGCAGTATTCACATTACTATCTCAGTAATAGGGTCTATATAATTAGCGTTGAGAGTCCATCAGTAAAATCAATCAGTTGGCACGGGTTTGTTATCACCTTCACGATAGATATTAGAGTAATGTATAAATCTCGAGGCGGCTGGTCTACTAAAACCTCGCCGGTCGGTTGCACACATAGGAGCTAGCCGGTGAAGATGCTGGGGGTATGGGGCTCTGGCAGCGGTCTCCACTACATCGGGTTAGTGCACCCCGAGTGCGGGTTAACGCTGCGGCGAGAACGCGGGGTGCGAGGTGGGATGATTTAATATTCTTTCTTCGGGGACTTGTATCTGTATTTTATATGTATCACTTCTTTTAAATTGTTGACGCAGGCTATCACAAAAATGGGACCTGTCCGTCGTATCGCCCAGATTGTTCACCTGAAGCCCTCTGCTGTGGCGGCATACAAGGAATGCCACGCCAACGTTTGGCCTGAAGTCCTTCAACAGATCAAGGACTGCAATATCAAAGACTGTACGTTTTACACTCAAAACTGGGACTTGGATCTAGGCTAACATGATCTCTTGGTATCAACTAGACTCAATCTTCTTTGACAACGATCGCACTCTATTCGCTACATTCAAATATGTCGGTACAGACTTTGAAGGCGATATGGAGCTCATGCGGGCAAACCCAAAGATCAGGGAGTGGTGGGCTATGACCGACGGAATGCAGGTATGTCTCAAAATTAACAATGAAGGGAAACGGGTGAAAACGCTAACATAAACGGTGATACCAGGACAGCCCCATTCCCGGCGCAGTGAGCAGTGCAGATGGACCCGGCTGGTGGAAGGTATTGGACGAGGTGTTTTACACGGAATAAAAGGCTCTGTCATAATGATGATTTTCAAAAGACTGTACATATTCTCAGGTTCACAACTTCAGGGAGAAATCTTTCGTTTGAAAAACCGGTCGACCTTTCTTTGCTTGGCGTCGTGGGCAGCACTTCCAATGCCACCTCGAGTGCGAGAGACATTGGCGAGATGGTCCTTGTTGTCGATATCTAGGATGGTTATTGACCAGCCGTGCAAGAGGGTGTGTGGCTGACGGGAATCGGCTACCCGGTTTTGTCGTAAGAGAACCGTTGTAACACCGGTGTTTGACCATGCAGGCTTTGCGACAACCGCGAGATCAAATTGCTTTTCGGGGGCTGTATGAACATCGGCTGGGTTGACAAGCTCCATGAGGCAAGTCCATAGTCTTCTGAGGAGGATACCGTGGGCAATGATTACCACATTGTCGACCGAGTGTGGATCATCGAGGATCAATGGAAGAAGATGTTCATTGAGGAAATTGTTGGCTCGTTGTATCATAGACCTATCGGACTCAATGCCACTCTCTTCTATTGAACCAGAAGGAATCCACTTTTTGCCTTCCATTTTCCCGTAGTGTCTTTCTCGCAAACTGTCAGTTAATATGGGCGATATGCGTGGTTGATTTGGCAGGGGTGTCTGAAAGCGACAAATGCCTTCTGCTGTGATTCGCGCGCGACTTAAATCTGAAGCAAATATCGTATTGACTCTACTTTGGCTGGAGGCAAAATGCCGACCAAGAGATTCAATTTGCAGCATGCCGTGGTTGGTGAGGGCTGAGTCAGTGTTGCCGGCGCTGTCCCGAAAAGTCAGTGCATGCAAGAATCTGGAATTGCGCGTAAACCTACCAGACCTTCGCCACATTGTCCACGGTCTCACCATGACGGATGAGAAATAGGCGCATGGCGATGTCAAGTGCAGTTCAGAGAACCTGGCGAGATGGGAAATCGCGAAGACGATGCATACAAAGAAACGCGCTAGCCGTTTTAGGGAGTCAACCTACACGTTTCTTTGATCGCTATAAAATATTAGTGGCCAAACATCATACGGTCATACAAAGCCATAAGCACATGAATCATGAAATTAGAAACAAGAAGAGACTTGGATCTGCCAGGTACTTATATGGGGCCGGAGGCCTAAGCCCCAGGCCATGATAAAATAGAGGCAAACAGGCAAGTAAGGCCCCATCTACTCCCTTCAAAGGTTTAAAAAATACTTGATTTTTATCCATCTTCTGGAAAGGCTGAAAGATCAAAAAGCCGACCGAGCATGTCAACACGACATTGGGCCCCTATATGCACATTTGTAGCTATATACACATGCCCCTTCATGAATGTCCAACAACCTTCTTGGGCTCATACAGGTCATCAATGCTCTTCAAATCCTCGGGGGTAAGCTCGAGGGAAATAGCACGAACTGCTTCATCAACTCTCTCTTTCTTACTCAATCCCAAGATTGGAGCCGTGATAAAGGGCTTGGACAATGACCAGGCGATTGCCACAGTCGCCATGGATACACCCTTCTCTTTGGCGATCTTTTCGATCTGCTCGTTGACGTTTTTGTCTGCCTCTGTCATGGGCTGTCCGAGGAAACCCTGCCCTTGACCCTCCCCGCGGGAAGTGGTCGAGAACTCATGCCAGGGCCGGGCAAGGAAGCCCATCGCGATGGGACTCCAGGGGATACCACCCATCCCAAACTTGGCACAGGCAGGGTACATTTCGCGTTCCTCCTCGCGGTAGATAGCGTTGTGAAGGTTCTGCATCGAGATGAACTCGGTCCAGCCATGGAGGCGAGCGGTATACTGGTACTCAAGGAGCTGATGAGCCCACATCGATGAAGCACCAATGTAGCGCACTTTGCCGGACTTCACAACATCATGAAGTGCCTCCATTGTTTCCTTGACGGGAGTGTTTGGGTCGAAGCGGTGGATCTGGAGCAAGTCGACGTAAGGCAGGTCGAGCCTCTTCAGACTGGCATCGATGCTTTCAAAGATGTGTTTTCGGCTCAAACCATACTGGTTGACGTAGCCGGAGTTGTCCTTCTGTTCATCTGTCATTGCCATGGGCTGCTCGTCGCCACGACCGACGGGCGCCCACAGCTTGGTTGCGATGACGATGTTTTCGCGGCGCCAGTTGTATTCCTTGATCGCCTTGCCCAGGATCTCTTCGGAAATACCGTTGGAGTAAGCGTTTGCGGTGTCGAAGAAGTTCAGGCCAGACTCATAGCAATGATTCAAAACTGGCAGGGCATCTTTTTCCGGTATGGACCAGTTGAAACGGCCCTCGGGGTTGCCGTAACTCATGCATCCCACACCAATGGGGGCAATGCGGAGACCGCTGCTGCCAAGTTGCACGTACTTCATGTTGGGTTGATTGATTAAAGGAGAGAGTAAAGAGAGGCGTGGATTATTTGCAAGTCAGTAAAATCTGGAGCACTGGGAGCACTGGGAAAGGTTTTGTATCTTCAGCAGCTAACGGAGTTAATGAAAAAGCTTTCCTATCGGAGATAGCAGTAAACTTCTCTGCCTTATGGGACATGAGAGGCTACAAATTGAGCGACGGACATAACGGAAATGAAGTCATCACATCGGCCGATGGGGATTGCTGGACTCACCAACGTGGGTCTTCGGCCGAACACAATCTTGGATCACATAATACTTTTTATGTCCGCATAGTCTGATGGATACTAGGAGACAATGGCATTGGAACCCGATGGCGTTGCTCGAAGCCTCGACTGCGCTGGATTCGAGCAGGTAAATTGGAACCTAACCATACAGTCGGATATCATCGTCCAGAATATGCTAGCAGTCACATCAACCAATGGCGGCACGGGCAATGTGGGTGTTTATAGCCATAAGCACGGCAATATCGCAAGTCAATCTCGGGCTTCCACCATTCAGACTCACACTAAACTTTCTCTCGTGGACTTTTGGGGCGGCGGATTTCAGTAGGGGGTTGGTATTTCACGGCCCTTGGATCTTGCACCACAGCTTTTACATCTGGTCGCCTCGGCCAAAGCGAGACTCGGGTTCATCGTCAGCGATGTCATCGATATTGGAGACGCACCGGATGCCTTCGCCAGATTCAACAACTGTGATACTGCGAAGGTTGTGCTGGACTTCGAGCATTAACTGAATGTAAGTAGTAGCACCAAGCTTGAAGGACGATTACTTTAGCATTGGACATTTGAAAGGTCACTGGAAAATGGCCAACGAATTGGCCTAGAAGAGGGGTTGGAAGTCGATTTTTTAATTAAGTAAAAATCTCTCAGGAAAGTGTACATGGCTTTTTAAATATTTTCAGGATGAACGGTCAACCAAGACCATTCATTTCGTTCATCTGTTGCACCCACGATTCGATGTCAAAATTTGATACCGTAATATCGTCAAACATAGCCGCATTGTCAACTCCACTGGTCGCAAATTCTGGCATGATGCCAGGTGCTGGGAATAAATAATGGCTAGGCTCATTATCGATCTGTGTCTCTCCGGAAGATATACTGTCCAGTATTTGTGAGGGTTGTTGAACAGTAGTT